CAGATGAATGGATAAAGAAGATGTAGCATATATATATACAATGGAATAATATGCAGCTATCAAAAAATGAAATCTTACCATTTGCAATGACATGGATGTAACTAGAGAATATTATGCTAAGCTAAATAAGTCAATCAGAGAAAGAAAATTATCATATGATCTCTCTGATATGAGGAATTTGAGAGGCAGGGCGGGGGTTCGTGGGAGAAAGGAAGGGAAAAACATGAAACAAGATGGGAGTGGGGAGGGAGGCAAAGCATAAGAGACTCTTAATCTCAGGAAACAAACTGACTGTTGTTGGGGGTGCGGAGGGAGATATAGTGTGGCTGGGTTATGGACATTGGGGAGGGTATGTACTATGGTGAGTGTTGTGAATTGTGTAAGACTGAGGATTCACAGACCTGTACCCCTGAAGCAAAAAATACATTATATGTTAATAAAATTTTAAAAAATGAAATTGGCTCTCAGGAGACAGTAGTGGAGAAAAGAGACAATAAACATGGCTAATAGGAATATATATAAATATCTAAGACATGGGCTAAAGTAAGAGGCAGGAGACCAGAGCTCAACATAAACAGAGGGTTGAGGGAGGTAACCTGTGTCAAATACCTTAGGAGATAATTAAAAATGCTTGGCTAGAGATCAGGTAGGACAGAACAAAATTCTGAAGGTGCTGGGTACCCAGGTAGGAAGGCAATCTGCTATGCTTAGTACATCCAGAAAGAACTGCATTTGCCTTAAACACTGAGGCTATGAGAGAATGGTGTATGTGTGAGCACGAGTGTGTGTGTACAGACAGCCAAAGCTGGGCTCTCTAAGCTAGCTCCTCTAACATGCAGGCCTGTAGATTCCAAATGACTGTCTGATTACCTTGGAAACTTGAATTATTTACTACAGAGGAGGGGTGTTAAGTATTTAGAGGGTTGTTATGGGTTGAGTTGTATCCTCCAAAAAAAAAAAAAATGTTGAAGTGCTAACCCCCAGAACCTCAGAATGAAAACTTATTTGGAAATAGGATTGCTACAGATATAATTAGTTGAGTTAAGGTGCGGTCATACTGGAGCATGGTGGGTGCCTAATCCAATATGATGGACGTCCTTATGAGAAGACAGCCCTGTTAAGGCAGAGGCACAGAGGGAGAGTGCATATACTGGAGCTGTGCAGCCACAGGTCAAAGACCACCAGCAAACCAGCAGAAGCTAAGAAGAAGAGAGAAAGGATCTTGGAGGCTTCAGAGGCAGCACAGCCCTGCTGATGCCCTGATTTTGGACTTCTAGCTTCCAGAACTGGTAGATAATAAATTTCTCTTGTTTTAAGCCACAGAGTTTGTACTATTTTTGCTATGGCAGCCCTAAAAAATGAATACAGAGCTGACAGAGTTGGACCTCCAGGACAGAAGAGAACCTTCTTTACCTTCTTCAACACAAGATCAGCCTCATGGAAGTAAAGGAGGGTATCTGTTTGTACCAAGGGCACTTTAACTGGTGGCTATTGGAATGCTGGAGCCACTACTGCCTAGACAAGGTTGTCCCCAAGTCAGTTTCTAACTACAAAGACGTGCAGATTGCAGTGGGCAGTCTGGATTTTTTATGGCTTCACTTAGCTGCTGAATCAACAAACTCTGCAACTACCTACTTCTGTTCTTACACAAGAAACTAAATTTCCTATTGGTTAATGCATTTTGCTCAGGGTAATCTGTTAAATACATAGTTTCTATTTGAATGTTTTCTTTCCTTCTTATCTTCCCTGACATAGTATGAAGCACTAGCACACCAAGGACACCCCTAGAATTTTTCTTATTCTATATTGCTGAGTTGATACTGCTTTTACCCAGTATTTTTCAACTTCAGTCATATCCAGATGAAGCAGAGAGAGGGAATAAATGGAGAATGCTGATAATCTGCGAGTCAATGCCTGCCGCAGCCTTGAACTGCCCCAGTGAACTGTACATTCGGACTGCTCATCAACATTTGATTGTGCTATGGTCACATTCCATTAGCTACCTGGTTTGTAGTATAGCCTATTTGAACTAAATATTGAAGTTACTCAAGCTGGTGAAATACAAATGGAAATAAAATTGGGAAAAGAATAATTGGGTCCCATTTCTTAAAAATAAATGGTTCAAGGATCTTTCAGTAGCATTTTCAAAGTAAAAGCACTGGTCACCTGTAATTTCATCCCACTGGTATTGGTACTGCATGCATCGTTGTCATGTTTAATCTGAACACCACTTATTCACACTAGAGAAGTGAATGCATATTAAGATCAATATACTATGCAGGCTGTCATATGAAGACAATGTTCATTTGAACCCCTGCTGATTATACTTTCAAGAACTGCTCTTGACCCAAAGCCTTGCTCACCAGGGAGGGTATAAATGTTTGTGGAATCCACCTGACAAACGGAAGATTGTTCCTGTGGACATTTTTATGGAGAGTTATGAAGCAAAAAGCAGCTTTGTTGGAAAGAGTAATTCTCCATGTAGAAAATAAAAACATGAGGATTGTGTAGGCTTAAGTTTCAAGAACCATAGCCTGGGACTGACAGCATACCCGGGCAGAAGCAGGCATCCTGAGAGAATCTTTGAGGCAGGCACGAGCCATCAGGCACTTGCTGCTGAAAGGCACCGTCAAGGTCTCCATGCAGCCATCTGCCTACTCCTCAACTTAACCACTCCAGCAGGTAGGATGCCATGCTGGCTTTTCCCTGCTGAAAACACAACCAGTTCCAGACAATCTGGACAACAGAAGCTCACCACAGATCACTATACTGTCCCTTCTATAAACATTCCCAAATATTTTATTCAACCTGGATGAAACTGAAAAGTCACAAACACCTCATGAGAAATGTAGAAAGTCAAGGGCAGGCTTCTCGTATTTACATTTTGTGATTCTGGAAACACTAGCTTGTTGTGGGTTAGAACAAAAACATCATCTTCTGTGTTATGTCACCCTAAATATGAGCTGAGTGGCCTCCGTTATGCTTTAATAACAGATCAATCAAAATCTACAGAAAAATTTGTTGATACCAGTAGTTGTAAAGCCTCCTCAAACTATCCTCCAAATTCATCTTCTCCTCTGGGTTCTTTTTTAACCCATATATTCATTTATTCAAGAGATGCTCACCGAGCACCTAGTGTATCAAGCACTATGTTGACAGGTGGACATCGCAGAACCCTGCCGACAATTATAACAGGATGATCATGGTGTGCTAATGGGGGCTCTAAAGGCTGCAACAGAAACAGTGATAGGAGCCTCAGTGTCAGCCAGGGATTAAGGAAGGTTTTATCCAAGGACAGAGGCATTTGTGCTAACACTTATTAAAGAGGAATGCTTCATGGTTCTGAGGGTTACTCCAGAAGATATAACAATGGATGGAAGGGTTTAAAGGAATGCTGTATCAACATGGATTTGGGGTGAACTTATTGTTCACTACTCTTGAGGCTTAAGAACAAGTAAATTAGGAATCAGTAACCTGAGAAGAGGGTAGATAGGTAGATACAAGTTAGAATACAAAAGGCTTTGTTCACCATCTAAAGGAGTTTTGATTCTGTCCTACAGTGTTTCTCAAAGGGGGGGGGGTCACAAGGTCCCTATGAAAATTTTTATGTGTTTGTTGCAATGATAATTTTATTAGTAATAAAATGGCAGGAACAGTGATAAAAACATATTCCAAATCATCTGGATGACCATTTGCCTCACAATTTCAGTGCCCCTATTTATGTTTATTATTAAGTTGGCATAAGCCAACAGAAATGTACCAGTCTGAGACCAAAGGAGATGCTGTTTGAACAAAGATCACCCTAGCTGAAATTGAGCAAAGTGGTGGGAGAACTGGGTCACTACATGGTATATAGTAGTAAGTAGGACAAGATAACTGAAAATAATGTATGCTGTCATGCTCTGAAACATATTCATACATCAGAGGACAACTAAGTTTCATAAAATAGTGTCATTTGGCTCATTAAATTAAAGGTGTTTATTTGAATGATACTGGCTTTGTAGCTTTTTCATAACACATTTTTCCCTTTTAGTTTTATAGTTCTATAAACATAAGGCACAAGAAGTTTATATCTAGTTTTATGTTTTTGAAATCCTATTTAAGAAACATTTAAGATTTAAGTAAACACTGAAATCTACAGGGTTTTTCTTTTTCTCCAAAAGAAGGCTGTCCATTACCCAAGTATGAAAAAGGACTATAGACAACAGTGAGCCACTGAAAAACTTTCAGCACATTGGTGTGAACCGATTACGGTGGTAGGAGACCACCTGTGCAGTCACATAGAGGAAGAACGGCCATGGGGACAGAATGGAGATAGAAAGACCTTTAAGGAGAAGACTGCCTGAGTACTGTTATTAAAAGCTCCCATTTGCTTATTAATCCCAGAGACCTGCTCAGGGCAGAGGCCTCAGGACTGTGGAATTAAATGCTGACAGTGCAAGCAAAGCTGTGTCGGTGTTTCAGGGTAGGCCTTATCTCGATGGAAAATTCCCCAAACTTCTCCATGATTCATCTCACGGAGGAGGGCTCTGTGATGTTGCCAGAACTAAATTAGGACCAAATCCCAGGTTTTACTAGAGAGCCAAAAAAGCACACAAGAGAAATTGTTATCGACATCATAACAAAAAACAACCAGGACCTCTGCATATAGTGCTGTAATCCAGTTGGAGCTGAAATCTTTCTCTTTACCAAGCCACGTGTCACTGGGGCTGCACCTATCAGGGAAGGTGACTTGCTAATTTATACAAGGCTGGGTAAACTTGCTAAGGCATGACCCGTGGAGAGAGCTGCATATTCTGGGAGAACACCTTTTTCTAATTGCATGAAGGTAACTTATAGGCTAGCTAAGACTTAATCCTGCTTTTCTCAGATTATGTGCCATCATTATCACTCCCCAAACCAGAATTTACAGTTCCAAAAAGTTGGGGAAGCATATGATTTTCTCATGAAAAGGCATAGTACCAACACACTTAAGAAACAGATAAATGTCTTCTGCTTACCTCGGGAGCCATCCAGAACGGGGTGCCAACAGATGTGTTTCTCCGTAGACGTGTACTGGTGAGTTGAGCTGAGACACCTATAAGAAAAGAGTACCGTAATTCAGCAGTAAACACAGGGTTGTGCTAGATCAGAGATTGGCAAACTTTTTCCATGAAGGGTCAGATAGTCAATAGGCTCTGAGAGCCATATGGTCTCTACCATAACTACTCAGCTCTGCCACTGGAGAGCAAAAAGCGCAGCCATGGACAACACAGAAACAAGAGTGTTGCTGTGTTTCCATAAAAATTTATTTATGGGTACATATAATTTTCACAGGTCATAAAATATTCTTTTGATTTTTTTCCCCCAATCATTTAAAAATGCAGAAACCACTCTTTTTTCACAGGTCACATAATAGGAAGCAGGTCAGGTTCAGCTGACACACTGTAGTTTGCCAATCACTGTGTAGGAGCATTTATTTACCACTCTTATCTAAACCACTAGACTATTTTTTCCCTAATGAACATTTCTATCCATATTACTACAAAATTGGAATCAAAAGAAAATACCAAGGGGCACCTGGGTGGCACAGTTGGTTAAGCATTTAACTCTTGGTTTTGGCTCAGGTCATGATCTCAGGGTCATGAGATGGAGCCCTGCATCCGGCTCCAAGCTCAGTGCGGAGTCCACTTGAGATTCTCTCTCTCGGCCCCTCTGTCCCTCCCACTTATGCACTCTCTCTCTCTCTCTAATAATAAATATTTAAATAAGTCTTTAAAAAAGAAAAGAAAGAAAATATCAAGAACTAAACCCGAAATGTCTTCCTATTATATTTCCAAAATATTTCATGTGATTTCTTTCTTAAAATGGTGCTTCATTTCATGGAGGAAGAAAATCAGCATGTATTATTTATAATAGAGCATCAGTGTGTAGACATAAAAAGCTTCTAATCCCTTATCTTACCTAGAATCCCAGAAACCTGGCAAGAAAAGTGTTTGTCAAGTGTAAAAAAAAGTAGCCTAAAAAATATTATTATCTAGGGCTCAGTGTTGAGGATCTGAATTTTAATGTAATTCCAGTGTATTTTATCTATCTTAGTCTTCAGACAGCTCTCTTCTTTACACAACAAGTGAATAAAGTAGAAGTAAATATGTATCAGATGAGGAGTCAGAAGACTTGTTTTCCATCCCAATTATGCCTTTTCCTAATTGTACGACCTAAAGTAAACCCCCTCACTCTGAGCCTGTTTTCTTATCCTCAAGTTGGAGATAATGATACCTGGCACACCTAACACAAAGAGTTCTTCTTAAAGATCAAATAAGTAAACAAATGTGAAACAACTTAAAAATAGTAAAATATTTTACAAATATAAGGTGTTCTTTTTTACCAAGCAGAAATCTAAGGCAGCCCTTAACAGAATGACAAGCATTGCCACTAACACTATTGAGGATGAGAACTTAGAAACCTGAATCAGGCACAGATTTGCCAAGGACCCATGGGTTATTTTGGTGGATCATTGCTGGACACTTACATTCTCTTTATTAGAAATCCAAAGAGCGCTCTCTAAACTCTATTGACCATGGATAATTTGTAATTTTGCCAAATTCTCTACTGTAATTTTGGTTAAAAAAAAAAAAACTTTACTTTTCTGTTTTTAATTTCTAGAAATTTCTTTTGCAGCAACTGGATGTTTAGGAACCTTCTACTGGCAAGATTAGGAGACTTACTCCAAATCACAAAGCCAGTGAGTAGATAAATCAGCATCAATCCCCATCCTCATCCTTCTAGGCTCTTTCCCTCACAATACATTGACTGCCCTTGGGACCATGTGTAAAATACAGATCTGATATTATCCACAGCATATTCATAGGGTTACACCATTCTTTATATAGAAGGAGGAGTGTAAGGGGTGCCTGGGTGGCTCAGTGGGCTAAGCCTCTGCCTTCCGCTCAGGTCATGATCTCAGGGTCCTGGGATCAAGCCCTGCATCTAGCTCTCTGCTCAGCAGGAAACCTGCTTCTCCTTCTCTCTCTGCCTGCCTCTCTGCCTACTTGTGATCTCTCTCTCTGCCAAATAAATAAATAAAATCTTTTTAAAAAGAAGGAGGAGGAGCATAAGACTTGAACAAAGTATCCCTCTGCTATTTTTTCTTTGCTTGCTCTTAAATAAACCAGTACTCAAAGTAACTTCATTTATTTTTGAGTAATTTCTTCTGAGCAAATCATTCACTAATACATTTTAACACTGAATTCTTTCTTAACAACAAAACAATGAATATTCAAAATCATCAATCTTTTCTCCTACCATGTTAATGTTTATAAAGAACATTTTAAAAAGTGCTTCTGTAAATATTTTCTCATTATTTGTAACAATCATACTGAAGTACTAACTAGTGTTGAACACATTTAGAAGATTAAAGCATTAAATATGCTTAAAAAGGAAAACCAAATGGTTTGCTGGTTTGTGACTATCAATACATGAATGAATATTGCAAGAAGACATTTAATAGGTCTCTGGCCTTACGTGATATTGCTCTGCATTTCCTCTCACACTTCCATTTCTTATTAATGTTTCCAGTTCAACCAGCCTCACATGTAGCAGCAATAATCACAATTTAAAGGGATGTTAGCTGCCAGACCCAAAGGACTATTTTACCTTCTGCACACTGGGAATAAGTATGCCTGAGGCTAGAAAAAGTCATTTGAAAGACCAAACTGCTTTCTCTTTTCATATGCAAAAGAAGAAATGACGAAATGTAAATTATAGACAACAGCCCTGGGACGAGAAATTCTTCCCAGAAAACCAAGTTTTTCCATCAAATTCTTCTTTTGAAACACTTTTATTTTCTATCTTTAATAAAATTGCTTCTAAAGCTGAAAATAGATGAACAAACAGCATCTCCTAGGGTGATCCATCTGGTAAAACCCCCATTCTCCAGTCTGTGTCTGACTGGAAAAGTCCCTCAGCCTATGGGATAGCAGAGAGGCCCCAGTCTTCTGAGACTGCAATAAATTGTTGCCTTGGGCTAAACTGCACACATCAAGAAAACTAACGACAAGCAGTCATTACCAAAGTCAACGAGCTTAACTCCTCCTTCTGTTGTCAGAAGAATGTTATTCCCCTTGACATCACGGTGGATGATTCGGTTATTGTGCAAATGCTGAAGGCCCTACGTGGTGTCCCACCACCACAAAACAGGAAAGACAAAGGGGAAATGTGAATGGTTATTTTAAAACAATTACCCTGCCTTTAAAAATCCCATCAGCGTCCACATTTGGCTGCATCTCCTTGCTGTTATACACCTTGCGTATCATAGGGCCATTTCCACTTGTTAATACACGATAGTGATCCAACTGATCACAAATTGCCCCCTCAGATGTGATCCCCAGTCTGATGGATGGTCTTACCAGGAGGGCCCCATATAAGATGTATGAGATCATTGCTTCATCCAACCGCTTGCCACGCCTGAGCAGACCTTTGACCAGCTCCGTGACTGAGCCCCCTGTACACAACTGCAGGAGGAGGTGCCAAGGAGAGAGAAACAGCAGGAGAACACATACAAAAGAAAAAGAAAAAGATGTTAAGAAGAAAAGCCGATTATTGACCTGACATTGTAAATTTACAGATCACAAAACTCCAGGTCAGAATAATTAAACTTCAAATGCACATTATGCAGTCAAACCTAAGGTATGCATGTGTATTTATTCAGGGTGATGATTTAAAAGTGAAAGTACCTGTCCAAAAAGTTGATTGTCAAGTGAAATATAAAAGCACAAATTACTTAGACATTTGAAAGAGAAAGCGCATGAGTGATCATGGTGAGTTACTGGATATTTTTCATTTTACATGAATATTGTCTATTTAAACACACGCGCACACACGCGCACACACACACACACACACACACACACACACACACGCATTTTAAGGATAAGAGAAGACCAAAAGAGGCAAAGATGGATGCCATTGACACTTGGGAGGAAATAAATTTCATTTCAAATTCTCCAGGGCCAGCACTACAGGCGCCAGAAGCCCTGCATGTCAAATTTATGGGGTGCAGTTGCCTCATCTGTGCGTTTACTCTTCTTATATTCAACCATCAGCATTCAGCAACTTTATGCTCTTCTTTTCTGTAATGAAAAACACTGCAAAAGTGTAACTTGCATATTTGCTCTATATTGTTATATATTATATATTGTTACATATTATATATTGTTATATATTATATGTTACGGAGATTTGAGAGTATATGAACCAGGCAAACTATACCTTAGTGGAAACTTGAGTGTTTTCAAGGATAATTTTTACTAACTGTAGAAGTCAATATGCAGGTTTGGACTTGCTACATGCTGTTTTAAAGGTTCTTAATTGGTCTGAGCAGGACATTTAAAAACCTAAAATTGTAGCCAGCATGTTATATATGCATCTTATATTTTTTTCTGAGAAAATTCAGAGCTTTCTTCAGATTCTCAGAGCCATTCCCTCTCTTATGAGGTTAAGACCCCACTCTAGACCTAGGTTTCCTCCTGGCAATTTGTCAGCAATTTGGGAAAGAGTTAACTAGTGACGTGGCAGGCTCCCTGGGATGTGGCTGCTTGAATTAATTGGCCTTTCATAAACAAGGAAATATGAGGGAAGGAACACAGATTAGCACCTTTCCTAAAAGAAGACAACTCTTTGTCAACGTAATACATCTATTTCACTCTAATTATGAATATTTGTAATGTTTTAACAAAGGGTGAGTTGATGTTTTTATTTGATGTGCATTATTCCCTGTTACATACATGGCAGACACCTTGCATACACATTAACAATCAAAATAACCTGGAACTGAGTTTGCCCATTTTTTTACCATTTAAATCGCTCAAAAGTAATAATATGTGACTAAAAATCTAATACAGAATTAGCAATCTTTAAAACTATGATAAAATTACTATCAAGAATGATTTAGGAGGGACCCTAAAAGCGGTGAAATTCATTGAAGGCTATGATGGTTCCATCAGTTTGCAATTATAAGGTCCTTTGAATCTATTCTCTACCAATGTCAGTTATAACTTGTAATTCAACACCCGTCACTCTGAAGGCCCTAATGCTGTGAGTCCCAGGATCCTGTCTTCCAAAAGATTCCACATTCTTTTGATTATGACTATGTTTTGCATGACCCTGAAAGGGCAAATAACATTCAATACTCAATCTAATATCCTCTTGGGCCATGAATGCATTTTCAGTCCCATGATCTGTATTAAAAGCTAAGCTTTCAACAGACCGAAATAATTGTCCAGAAATCTCCGAACTAGATTCTATATTTCAAGGAACAAATACTGGAGAAGTGACAAGTCAAATGATGATCATGACATGACAGAAGGTAAGTTCTCAAGAAAAAGAAAAACCCTTCTGGAGCTGGTGGTATAGAGTTTGGAGAGCTTGAGAGAACAAGATTGGAGTGACAGTGTTCCCTCTTGAGGGGTTCTAAATAAGGACACAGTTCTCACAGAAACTTCGATTTCCTAGGACCCTCTTTTCTCTTGTAAATTTAAGGGGAGACCTCCTCATAGGACCTTCATGCCTAAGAAGAGGTGTCCGTGTTGAATGGAAATGGTAGTAGGGCAGGGTGAGGTTGACCAAGGCTGGGATTTTAACAGTTCCCTATAGCTCATTCATGACTTACAGAAGATTCAGAACTTTATCGTCCATTTGAGGACAGGGACAAGACTAGAGTTTGAATGACAAGGACAAAGAGAGTGAGGACCTCATGATAAAAAGGAGTATCAGGGACCAAGGACATGGGCAGACACCAAAGCCAGATAGTACAGGGACTTAGGTTCACACACAATTCAAGGCCCCTGTCCTCACTGCTATAGCTTTACATTAGCATCTGTTGTACACAAATCCAGATGCCATCCAGGACGAAGGGAAGAGGAAGAGGAAAGAAAAGTTTCTACAAATACTGACTCTTTACCCCCATGACTTAGCTTTGACCTGGACTGTGAAAATGGGATATAAATAGTAGAATTTGCCCCTTTCCAAAGCAGTCACTCAGTTGGACTAAGTTTAACAGAATAAATTAAGATTGGTTGTCTCCTTTAGGTGGGCTAGGGGCTCAAGAACAAAGTTGAGTTCAGTTATTGAAAAGAAAGTTACCACTTTGTTCTCAATAGTTTGTGATGGTCCAGTTTATAACCCATTACTCAATACAACACAGTCCTTGACCTCAAAAAGCTCACCGCCAGTAATAGACACATGAGTAATGAGGGCATGGCATAAGGAAGTAGAGGTATGCGTAAGGGAATGAGGTGGCACCAAGAGGGAATGGTGGCCTCCGCTGAGACAGGGTGAAGAGAAGACAGTTTGTGAAATCTTCTTAGAGGATGCAACATTTACAATGAATTTAAAGGACAAATGAATTTAATGGATAAGAAGGGGAAGGGCATCTATGAATTCTAAATAATCAGCTACTCTTGGACAAAGAGTACCAGATTCCTAGGGCAGGGAGATGAGGAAGGAAGGTGGGGAACACAAAATGACAAGTGTGCCCTGCTAATGAGTACAGGCTTTATTACTGCACACACATCTATTATAACACCATAATATATCATAAGGTAAGAAGGGTAAACAAATCAGCAGGTTTTAGGCAAGAGGTCTCTATTCAGATTTATAGTCTAGAAAGACCTGGGCAGCAGACTGGAGAGGAGACAGAACAGGAAGACAACAGAAGCTGACACCTGCTAGGAGGTATTGAAGTAATCAAAAAAGAGAGGGTCAAAAAGTCAAGAGTCATGAAGATGAAGATTCAGGGACAGATATAGGAGGCTTCTTTCTATAAGATAGAACCTGCTATCTTATAGCAGTGAAGGAGAGAGAAGGAGAGAGAGCCTAGGGATCTTGTGAAGGAGAGAGAGCCTAGGGATCTTGTGAGAGTAAGGGAAAAATCAATAAAGTTCTTTGATCCTCCAAAGCCAAAGTGATAACGGAGCAGAAGGCAGGCTGAGAGCAAAGCACAAGGCAACACCCCACACCCCCACCCCTGTGGTAGATATGTGACATTCCTCAGGCACTCCTGGCTGCCCTAGAGCAAAGGAAAGAGAAAAACAAACAGTTAACTGATAGAGATCCTGTTCAAGCAGGACGGGAGTCTCCATCAGTTTGCAACTGTCTTGATGATTTACAAGGAAAAAAGCAATCTCCAGAACCTACAGACTCAATATCCTGGGGCCCTAACATTACCCTCCCCTTCATAGAGTAGAAAATCTTATATAATCAGTCACACCTCACAACCCCAGTGCAGCTCTTTCTGCCCAAGGGTCCTGTCTCTGTGCTTTAATAAAACACCACCTTTTTGCACCAAAAACATCTCAAGAATTCTTTTCTTGGCCATTGGCTCTGAACCCTACCACTTCAAACCACATCAAAACAGTAATAGGATTGCAAGGCACTATAACACCTTCAAACAGAACCTCTCCTGAGCCTGACTCTGGGAAGCACATGCTTTGTTGAACTCCAAGTGCACTATTAAAATTCTACCAAGAGAAAATTTAAATTAAATGCTGGGTGATGATCCAAGCTAACTCAACCCTGGAATTTTCCCCCAAAACATCATTTTAGTCTCCCATGCCCTACTTTAACTGTAGCCACTTTTGCAACAAACACAGTCTATTCAGCGATATTTTATATAGGTAGCCAACTTATAAACTTTCTTCATAGCCCTAGAACCTATGAAGAGATTAAGAGCAGCCATTTCTGTAGCAGGATCAAAACAGAGCTGTGGATTTAAAAACAACAAAAGGATCCTACTTGGTAGGTGCCTTTTGTTCACTAAATGTCAGAATTTAAGAGCTGTGTCACTTCCTGTGATTCACAGAAACATAAAATTAAACTGCTCACAGTCCCTTTAGGGAAGCTGTCCTGTGAAATTGAAAAGCCCCCCAGTATAATTTTAAAGGGCAGCCTGTGGGTTACAGAAAAAGGACCTTGGGTCCTCTGTACAAAAAAGGAAAGCAGGGACACACTGACAATTATCTTCCCAGTGTAAATGTTCAGTGAGATGAAATGAACATTTTAAAAGCATGACAAGAAATTACATTTAAATGCATCAAATGAACAGTCCCCTTCGAATTCTAAGAAGGCAACCAAGCCTCCTACCCCACCCCTGAAGGTTGGCGCCTGCAGCCCTTCCTTCCCACACATTCTGCCTGCCATCAGAGTCAAAAACAGAGGTGTGTCTCCATCCCTGTTTACTTCCCTACGGCCTCAGCATTCAGGAAATGTGGCAGCTGGATGCATCTAGAATTTAATGAGAATTTTGCTCCAAACCAAGAAAAATAGAAAAATCATTTATGTACCACATCTATTTTCTAAAACAGCGTTGAATATTGATTCAATCACAGTATGTGCATTTGCTAAAATGGCCATAATTTCAAGCAATAAAATGTTCCTTGCTCAATAAGCCATCAACTTTCCTCCATGTTATTAAAGAATGGCCCATGCAGTACAATCACCAGAACTTTACTCTAGTCAAAGCTCCAACTTCCAAGTAGCTTCTGTACTGGCATGTTAGTTTGACCCAGTCAAACTGCAGAATTAAGAGGAATTTCTTTTCAGTGTCTTTTTGTTCAGTCGATTTTATCCTTCAAGGGTGTTGGGCTCAATAGGGAGCATAAAGCAAAAGCCAAGAATCAACAAAATTACTCAGTAAGATACCTTAGTGAGTAAGGAAAGGGTTAAGGTATAGGCAGGGAGAGATAGCAGGCCCCGACTCCCCTGACACTGCTCAGGCAAGGGGCTTACATGACCAGGCTCACAGAAATCCCAAATTCGGAGAAATGCCGAGGGGTACAAAACCAGAGATAAGGGAACAAACCAGATCACCTGGCCCTGAATGTTAGCGAGTAAAATTTTTTTTTTTTTTTTTTTTTTTTTGGCAGCTACATTGTAATCACAGAAAATGACAAGGGTGTTATCAATAGTCCTTGCTCAAACTAACAGGGCACAAGAATCTCAAGGTCACAAGCTTCCTAGTTAGTTCTCAATAAAAGACTGCCACTAAAACCCCACAGTGGCAACCCATTCGGGACTGCTCTGACTCTAGGGAGCTTTTTTTTTCTATTTCTGCTCTCACCTTCACTTAATAAACTTTCACTTTGGGGTGCCTGGGTGGCTCAGGCCATTAAGCAACTGCTTTCAGCTCAGGTCATGATCTCGGGTTCCTGGGATGGAGCCCAGAGTCAGGCTCCCAGCTCAGCAGGAGACTGCTTCTCCGTCTCCCTCTGCGCCCTTCCCCCTCATGCTCTTTCTCATGGTCATTTACTCTTTCTCTCTCAAATTAAAAATAAATAAGTAAATAAACTTTCACTTCACCTCACCCTTTTGTATCCACAAGATTCATTCTTTGACTCCATAAGGCAAGAACCCTGCAGCCCTGTGACATTAGGAAGCACTGTGCTGGTGCTGTCCTCCTCTCAATAAGGCCAGAACAACAGATTTTTTCCTGCACACCGTTGAGACAGATTGTATTTATTTTGCTGATACCAGGTGAAGTCAATGGCTTGCACTAGAACAATGAAAACTGTGTCACTTGCAACCCTAGAGTTCCAGTCAGAGTGGGGAGGTAGGTGGGCCCTGAGATTCCCACCTCCCATCTCATCTTTCTCCAGGGCACTTGCTTATTGGGTGGGGGAGGTCAGAGTCCGTCCCACTCCTCAGCTTCTCTCTCTTGCTTTTGCTGAAGACACACAATACACGTACATAGGCTGTAACACTACTGCATTTCTAAGTTCCTCCCTTCTCCACTCCCAAGGGTCCTATAGCTTCCTCCACCCCCCAGCAACCCAGTTACTCTCCTTCTAGAATCCTGCAAGAGGCTGCCATCTGAAGCGGTGCTTGCTAACCATCTCTGGCCAACCAAAATGTACTTGTCCTATGTTCCAAACTCTCAGAGCCCTGCTACAACCCTGATTTGTTAACGTGATAAACTTGGTTCATGTCACTGTATCAGCGGGTGAAATGGTTTAAAGTATGACACTAGCAGTGATAATCAGCCCACACCAGCCTTCCTAGGGCCTTAAAGAAAAGCAAAAACTTTTCTTTAAGCAAAAGTAAAAAAGCAAAAAGCAAAAAACAAAGATGTCTCCCCTCACTTCAGCCTAGCTTAGTTAACTTATATACAGATCTCTGATAGAAAAAAACAGATTTTTTTAAAAAGCTAATTATTTTTATCAGGTTTTATAAATATTTCACTTTACAGATTCACTTATGTTCTCTAAACTTCAAACCGTTTAAGATGAACATGTGATTCATGCTAAAATTAATAGTTTCTATCTGCCAAACATTTTACACTAAAAGGCAAAAAGAGAAAATGCAGTTTATACTTTAGCACCACACTAGGTATTTTTTCTAAGTATTATGTTTTTCTTAAAGGTCTAAATTCTTATATTTCATTTAGGTGAAAGATAATAGGACTTACAGATTTTTAAAATTTAATATTTAGATTAAAACTTATTCACAAATTTTCCAAAACATTATTATGTGTCTCTTTTCTCCACACCTTTCTGATACAGTAGCTGTGTGTTGACTTTCTGCTAACAATTAGTAATGAATTTCAGAAATGATACTTTTATTTGCTTTTGTTTTCAGAGTTGTGGTGATTTAAGGGGGTTATCATAACATTTTCCTATCCTCTAGAATTGCTCTATAGAATAGCTTGTCCCTGGTCCTTTCATTTCATTCAGCAAGGGAAGAGCAAAAGTAACATAAATTTAATCTCAGTATACATAATGAGATGAACAATATTAAACAGACCATAAATTTGTTGTGTAAAGCTGCCTAAAAAATTACAGATAAAGCAAAATGGTCAGGGTGCTATGTAGACCCTCACGGTCTTTCTGCTGCATGTGTGGGGATGTGTGTGTGTGAGTCCAGGAGCTGCTTTGATCACAGCCAGAGAGGCCGAGTCTGTGTTCCCAGGACCCAACAGGCAGTGCCACAGGCTGTAGCAAAACGTGATGGGAGAAAAATTCTTAAGTGTGGCTCTCCAACCAGTTCTGCCACAGGTAATTTCTTATGTAACCACAGGCATGTCACTCCTTCCCTGAGCTTCTGTTCTTCAACTGAATACCAGGGGACTGACCTGAAGAAAAGCCAAGGTTCCAGCCAGTTCTAGGAGCCTAAGAGTCCCTTTTCTTATAAGCATATTATAGGTACTGGACACACCTAACCACCCAGCAGCCCGGCAAAGATGGCCCATTCCAGGACCAAAAAAAAAGAAAAACCCCCAAAAACTAACAACATCTGGTTCTCCACACTACCAACTTTGGCATGGGCCAAAACAACTTGCAAAAGGCATACATATCAGCATATTGTATTGCTGAGATATGAATAATTCAGTATCTCAAGGCAGCCTCATTATCTGCCTTTGGTCACCCTGAAAAAACAAAGAACAGTCTGCAGGGGAGCACTTGCATGAGGTTTATTAGTTCATAGTTCTGGGCTCCTTCTCATCTTTCAAGGCCATGTCCAGCCCTTTCCGGCTGCCTTGCCAATGCCTGAGGGGCTGATGTTCAGTCACTCCTCATCAGGAAGAGCATTTATTCTTAGGGGGCCACAGGTACGAGCAGCCCACCTGCCTGCCTGATCACATCAAGGGGAGGCCCCTTTTAAGGCCTCAGAAAATTCTGGAAATTCCAGTCTTCCATGTTTGAATAGAGAGCCTTAATCAGTCAGCAAGTAAAAACGAACTAAAACTAAGATTTCTTGGTCACTGCTCTTCCATTATGAAATTGCAACAAGGTTTGAAACATGGAGATCCTTAAGAGCTGAAGAAGAATATAATCAGAGACCCTAGAAACAATACTTTGCATGTCCCAAGAAAAGCTGTATTTTAAAAATTAATGTTATTCTAGAGCTCATCGGCAGGATAAAATATATATTCTCAGTGTGGGGGTAGGAAATAATAAAATCCAAAAGAAGATACTATAAGAATATATTCTATAACAACCAGCCAACCAAATAGACAAAGATGATCTCTGAAAACCAAAACCCCCTACATATTTATATTCTGAGGAAGGCAATTGATTTGATAGAAATGTTCAAACTGGTTTCCCTGAAGGTTACCCCAAATGAATATAACAAATGAATTCCCCGTACACAGTTGCCATGGCAGCCAGTAATACATTGTTCCATGCCCAGGCCCTCTCAGAGCCAGGCAAAAGATTGGGACAAGAAGCTAAAGATGTATTGAGACCTGACCTCTTGTTTTAGTGCTTCTCTCTTAAGCTTTCACATATGTGCTTGTGCTCCTAGAGTGCATACGTGAAGTCAGGCACAGAGGTATGTCTGTTCAGAGGAGTGGAGTCCAGAACAAATCAAGGTGGCCCTAGTGAGCGCGAGGCAACAGACCTATCCTAAGATACTAATTTCATATATTGCCATTATTACGTCTTTCCCATTTTCAGTCTCACGGGGAATGGAGTTGTAGGGACTGACTCTTTTGCACCCAGATACACACATTCATTACTATTAATAAAAAAGAAAAAGGCAGGATTACAGTGTGTACAGGATACAGTGGTGCTCTTCCCAGATTCCTTCTTCAGAGCACACGCTGCCAGGAAGACTGCCTGCTCCCTGCTCCCAGCTCCTGGCAGTACCACTCACCAGGAACTTCCCCCAGCTACAGGGAAGTGCTTCCACTTAGATAACACCCCTCCCAAGGGAGCACCACAGCTGTGACAGGCTGATGCAGAGATACAATTCAGGACCGCTCTGCCATAGCATCCCAGCTCTCCATCTCCCAGAGAATGGGCAGCAGCCTCTTGCAACTACATTACCATTCCGTGTCTCCCTTGCCCAGTCCTGCCTTCCTCACTTCCACCCAGGTCCAGCTCCTGTAAGAACTCTCCAATAAACCTGCCACACGTGACACTCAGAGTCTGTTTGAAGGGAACCCAATCTAAGCTAAAGATTAATGAACATGAATGGGCTAATCCAGACTTGCCAAGCCAAATAAACCTTGGGTTAGCAATTTTTGAAAATGAGTTGCAATCAATTGGAACATGTTTTCCGTGAAACGTTCCCAGTTTAAGGAAAAAAATAGCCTTTTCCAACTGCATTCCTGTATTCACTCTGGATGAGAAGAAATTATTAAACTTTTGAAGCAGAGAAACATGAACATTTTTAACAACCTACCTATAAGAACTGTGGAGGAGATAGTCACATCTGTAAGGTACTTGTGACACACAGGAGGGACCAACTCCTCACATGAGTATCTTACACTCTTTAGGCAACAATGCATTTGCTTGTCCCTGGAGCTCTGTTTAAATGGATGGTTACCCAACGGGGCCACTTACCTCCAGGACGAGCCAGAGCTGTCCTCCCACACAGTGATCCGCTTTGTAAAACATCCCATAAAATTTTACAACATTGGGATGATTCGGAAGAAACTGCAAAATGTTGTATTCTGCTTCAATCTCTTCATCCATATCCTATACAGGGTAAAAAATGCACGCTGGATTAAGTCTAACATCTGAGGAAGGGTACGGGTATTATATAATTTAATAAAGCATATTTACTCTGTATTTTTAATGTCATCATTACTGCATCTTGAAAATAGCTAACAATAGGCATTCACATCCAAATAAAAGCTTCTAATTATTACATCAATAAAATGTCCTTATTATATCCTTTCTTCTTTAATAACACTATTAAAAATATCTATTTTTATTTTAAAATGTCTGAATTTTCAAAGCAGTTTAGGAGAAGTAGCTTGAAGGGACCCAACTCAGCTTAGGACACCTTATAACCTCACTGTGCAAGACAGCTTCCAGCATTACAAGGTGTTCAGTGCTCTCAAAGAAGATGAATGAATGCCACAAGTCCGGACCACCCTGCAACTTAGAAAGAGACTAGACTCTGTATAAGGGAGTGAGAAACATAACCCTTTCCAAGAAAATAACTTTTGAAGAACTCAGAGGGTCAAAACCAAAACAACAGTAAAATGGACAAGAAACAGAAATTCAAAGAATTTTTTAACTCCAAATGGAATCCCCTTCAAAATAAGCTGACAAATCATGACTCATTTTGAATTTCATGCCAGGTTTCATGAAAATCATAACTAAAACCAGGAAAGAAGTTGAAAGCTTAACGTGTATGAGTTATATTGTGGTTGCAATTTACTACCATTACTTACACTGATTGGATCCAAAATTTTTACTGCGGCCAGGCTCCCATCTCTCTTGTTGGTTACCTTGTAGACCTTGCCATAGGTGCCTTTACCTATGGTCTCTATAATTTCCCAGGTATCAGTGGGATCTGGAAGTGATTCAAGTCCAAGCATTGTGGGGTTATAATGAAACAATCCATACAGATGTTTCCTGATGGGGAAAAAAGTTTGTTATGTGCAACAGATCACAGGATTGGGGGCAGTGGGCTTTCAAAACAAGAATATTCTTTTAAAAAAAAAGGGATTTTATTTATTTGAGAGACAGAGATTGAGGGAGCATGAGCAGAGGAATGGACAGAGGGAAAGAGAAGCAGACTTCCAGCTGAGCAAGGACCCCCCCCCCCCAATTTGGGCTGGATCCAGAACCCTGAGATCATAACCTGAGCCGAAGTCAGAAGCTTAACCCACTAAGCCACCCAGGCGCCCATCAGAACAAGAATATTCTTATTTCTTAATTAGCAACATTATGGTACTTTTTTCTTTTTATTTTCCCCTTCTAAGTAGATTACAAAAAAAGTATTTGAAGCCTTCGTAAGTAATGGGGGTAGAAGATGGAGGAGTGGGCAACATGACTCTGATATATCTCTTAAAACAATGATTATAAATGATAAGTTTATATAACCCCTACAGGAAGGAGCCAAAGGACCAAAACGGTTGCTACTGGGGGAAGAGTCTGAAAGCTAAAGGTCTAAGATCTTCGTGCTCAGGTTCTGGTAACCATGAGTAGGCCCCCTGATGGTTGCTGGATTCCAGTCTCCAACCTCCATGTGCAAAGTCTAGGCTGCTAGGAAGGAGAATCTGGTGCCTCCACCAGGCATTAATCAATGTACAGCACCCACTGCTGACCAGGTCTTGGGTCCTGTGAGGATTAGTTAAGCTCAGACTCTATCTATAGCAATAGCCTAGTGTGGGAACCACACTGAGTACTTCACCAGGAGCCACAAACTTGCTTTGTCTATTTAATAAGAACACAGCCCTGTGGAGTTCAAGTACTTTAAGCGCCAGCGGGAAGCTTGACAGGCAAATTAAGTCATCCAGGACTAATCCCATGAAAAAAGCCCCCTTAACTTCAGTTGCTCCCTGAAGAAGGGTCTCAAACCTGGTCTGTTTCTAATTGCAGGGGAGGGGTCAATCTGGCTCCAACAACAAGAGTCATGGCATCCAATCCCCACACAGTGGCCTGGTAGCCATCCACCATGAGCACTTCTGCCTCATCCTGGACATCTCAATTTGCACTTCTAATTCTGATTATTTTCTATACTGCATCCTCCCAAGGTGCAGCCTTCTGACCTGGCACAAGAATCCAGTTTTCATCCCTACCGTTTATGACAGGGGCATTTCAAAGATTATGAAAACCATCACCAAAACAAAATAAAATCCCAGTGAATATGGGGCTGATGCCGGAAAGAACCTGTCTTTTCAGACCTCACCTGGCAGGCACACCAAGTTTCCAAAGGAGCCTACAATCAGCACCAACTCAAGAGCCCAGGCAAGGTTGACCCTGGGCTGAGGAACTGACCCCAAAAGACTGGCTGGACCCCAAACAACTCCTGCCTTTCATCTGCTCATTTCAAGATTCCAATAAATTCCAGCCTTTTCTCCTGGCCAGTGTTTTACAAAAAATCTTTCTTACCACGTTTCACTATTTTTGCCATCTGTACAGTACCTATGCTATCAGTTATTAAATATGTTTAATATTTTTTACTGGATGATTACACTCAAGACAATAAAGAGTTATTCAAAAGTTCAGCCAGATGTTGCTGCCCGTGCTTGCACTTTCAAAACAAAAAGGCGGGGGGAGACAGATCATCAAATAATGGAAGGGAATTACAGACAAGCACAAAGTATTCCTTAACATCATCAGAAGACCAGGAAAAAAAAATGAGCAAGGAAATAAATTTGTCTCGATGAGTTTCAGTGTTCTTTATCGTAAGATCCCCAAAACCTCTCAACACCTTGAGAACTGTTCCAGGCCTAGCTTCTACAACAGCAAAAAGTTGGACCAGCCTGGAGTACTGGTCAAGGCCAGACAGGCTCAGGGGGTACTAGGTAGTGAAATGTGCTTCCTGGAGAGAAGAATCTGGCCCATCAGCTAGCTGGACTCACTGTACACTTGCCAGTGTGGTCTCTGTTCCCCCACCAGCCGGCACACTCCCATCCGGGTTCAGTGTCCTGACAGTAGTGCTCAAGTCAAACTGTCTGCATGATCCTGGCCCTTCCCTGACCAACCCTGAGACGTGAACTGGCTACTCATCTCTCTGTACCTTGGTTTCTTCATCTGCATCATGGAACTGCTGCTATTGCTGATGCAACCCGCTTCACAGAGTTGCTATTAGGATTTGGAGATGGAGCGCGAATAAAGTGAGCATAATGAGAGCCCAGAGAGGGCAGCTGCCATCATAAAAGAATAGTACCAAGTTCTGCTTCAGAATAGGCAAGGCTTAATGGTTTCCTGTTTTGTTTTATCTCACTTTTAGCCATGAACTAAATGAGAACCAAATTAGTTTTACTCCAATCAGTTAATAGTTTCACACAAATGGCTGGAATTTGGTGTGTGCAAATGAAATGAAATCACAGAATGTGGCATCAGGAGAGGACCCTAGAGGCCACTGAATCAAGTGTTTTTCTAATGATGTGGGGCCACAAAACCCTTTTGTTATATTCAATCTCACTTAGGATGCTGATGTTGAAGCTGAAAGAAGCAGCACAGGTCTGGCTGAGGCAGGCTGGGGATCCCTGTGCCCCCATGGGAGACATGTAGGGTGACTAACCATCCTGGTTCACCTAGGACTGCTTTAGCATTGAAAATCCTATGTCCTGGGAAGCCTTTCAGAACTCAGAAAACTGAGATAGTCTCTGAAGCCCCCTCAGAGCATTATTAAAAAAAAAAAAAAAAAAACACTGTTTAAGCACCCCCACTCCACCCCCCCCTTAGTCCCTGTTATATACTAAATTGTATCCCCCCCAAATTTATATGTTGAAGTCCTAACCTCCAGTACCTCCAAATATAACTATACTTGGAGATGTCTTTACAGAGGTAATTAAGGGAAAATGAAGTCATATGCAGAGCACTAATCCAATATGACTGGTATCCCTATAAGAGATTAGGACACAGACATACACAGAAAGACCACGTGAAGACCTAGAGGGAAGATGGTCATACACAAGCCAAGGAGAGAGACAGAAAGATCTTGCCAATACCTTTACCTCAGACTTCAGCCTCCAGAACTGTGAGGAAATTCTATTGTTTGAGCCACCCAGTCTGGGGAATTTTGTTATAGCAGCCCTAGCAAACTAGTGCACTCCCATTTTACAGACGAAGAAAATAAAACCCAGATTGGTGTCATGACTGTTTATAGGCAATGCAAGAATGGGAATCCAGGACTCCCTGGGCCTAATCCTGTGATCTTTGTCCCACAGAATAGAATGAAGGGAGTCAGCTGGTTAACAAAGGTCCTGTCTGACCAACTGCACCAAATATTTAAAGTTCTGTGGTGGGATTACTCCCAATCACATGGAGCCTAAATGCCCCACAGACCTAATGGATGGCAATCTCTGCTCCCCATAGAACAAAAACAACTCACCTGGAGGAACTCATCTACAGTTAGCACCAATGATGGTGAACAGAGGGAGGACCAGGTTCCACCGCCATACCCATCACATCTGTCTGGGCATCCATAGATAAGGTTAAATAAATGTGCAACAGAACATTTGCACAATAACACAGTTGCCCGTCCTTCTCTCTTTAAAATCAATACCTGACTCTATCAACTTTCTGACAATTGATTAAATAGCCCCAACAGTGGCTGCTTATACAGCTCTATAAATGTGGTGGTAATCTGCTCTCAGGGGGCAGCTGGACTAGCCCTGCTGAGAGCCAAAAAGCTGCTCCTGGTCAGAATGTTAACCTTGGAGGAGACCACACTTCTGCCTTTGTCTGTGTCTGGGGCGTGACAGACAGAGCTGGACCTCATGGAAATAGTCATGAGTACAGGGATGAACCCGACACCTCAGGACTGTGCAGAACCTCAGAAGTCCCTGCAGGGGCACCTGGGCTTCCTGCAAGTCCTGAAACAGGACCCCAGTCATTTATTGTCATTTATTTGGACTAGAAATGAAGGGGTAACTTCAGGAGGCTACAAAACTCAGGTTATACAGGCTACTGTCTTTAAAAGACAAACAGGACTAGTCTGTCTCAGCAGAAGAAAGTGATACAGTTCTCAGCGCAGGGTAGGCTCGAGCAGCTCACAAACCAATCAGAAGTCCTATCTGCCTTCACATGTCTATGTGTGCAGTTGCTCTAAAGCAAAGACTCGACGAACACTCTCTGGTTTTGCATTGTGTGAAAAGCGGTTATATCATATTAAAGGAATATATTCCTATCTTTGTCACACATTATTAGCCAATTATCTAGGAGACAGCCAAACCTCTCACTATTTAAGCCAAGGGAGAGACAGATTCATTGATTTAGTAAGAGACTTTACCCTTATGTTAACACAGTCTCTTGGAAGTTAAGAATAATTGTACTTTTTCTTGTTTTGTTCTGTTGTGAGGAGGTAAACTTGCAGAGGTCAGAAGTCACATCCCCTTATGGTAGTTGAGAATATCTTTCTGTGGATGAGGACTAATGGACCAAACATGACTGCTGCTTGCAGTTAACATCAGGGACAGGGCTCACACCACCAGAGAGCAGCTGTTCTGGATCCCTCTTCCCACCAGAAGTGGGGGCTTGCCCAGGTTACACACCACACTACAGTGAGGAGTTTCCCATACAGCTGTAAAGTAATAGCTCAGTGGCTGCTTTATCTTATCAGAATTGAATGTTTAGACTTCCTCAGGAGTTTGGGTTTCAATCATCAGCAGACAAAGTACTTTAAAAAATAAGCTATGGAATATTCTTTTTTGGTTAGGTTTTGTCAAACATGATTCCACAGATTTCTAGTTTCATACATATACACAAAGTCAGGCATTAGGCTTCCTAAAGGAAGAACATCCCGCTACCTAAGAAATGGTATTGCCAAAAAAATTAAACCTGAATCTCATCAAGCTTCTTAAGTACCAATTTACACGAATAAAAAAGAGCAGGATAGTCACATCATAGTACATAGAACTGTCAGTTGCTATGTTGTACCTCTGAAACTAATGTAACACTGTGTGTTAACTGTATTTCAATAAAAAAGGCAGAGCCCATGTTAAATAATACAGTCTGTGTACAATAAGCAAAATCCAGACTTAAATCTCTCCAAGAAACTCTCCAAGACAAATGATCCAATATACTCCAAAAATAAGTTGCAAATAAAAATAAATTGAGAAGGATAACCTCAGGATTAAAAGAGGCTTATAATACATATCAACTGTGAAATAAAATGTGGATTCACAAAAAAAACACTAAATTATAACATTTATAAGATACTCAGATCACCATTAGTTATTTAATGATTATTAAGGAAGGAATTTTTAATTTTGTTTTAGTTGTTATAATTGTATTTGTGGGTTTGTTTGTTTTTTTTAAGATTTTATTTATTTATTTGACAGACAGAGATCACAAGCAGGCAGAGAGGCAGGCAGAGGGGAAGCAGAGAGTCCAATGCGGGGCTCGATCCCAGGACCCTGAGATCATGACCCAAGCCGAAAGCAGACGCTTAACCCATTGATCCACCCAGGTACCCCTGTGGCTATGTTTTCAAAAAGGTTCCTTATCGGAGTGCTTGGGTGGCTCAGTGGGTTAGGCATCTGCCTTCTGCTCAGGTCATCATCCCGGGTCCTAGGATTAAGACCCACTGGGCTCCCTGCTCAGTAAGGAGTTTGCTTCTCCCTCTCCCTTGTGCCCTCTCTCCTTTCTGTCTCTTTCTACCAAATAAATAAAATCTTAAAAAAAAAAAAAAGATTCCTTACCTTTTAGCAGTACACACTGAAATATTAACAGGTGTAACAATATGAGGAAAAAATAAGAAGGGGTATACATGACAAAACATTGGCCATGAGTGGTAATTATTGAAGCTGAGTACATGGTGGGGGCAGGGGTGGAGTTCAAGGTTATATTCTATTAACTTTCCTATGTTTTTCAATTTCCATAATGAAGTTTTTAAAATTCAGTTTAACTAATGTATGTCAGTGTACATTCTGGAATTTATACACCTGGTCAACCCTACCTCCCTGAAGAGTTTCCCCACCACCACCCTTGATAATATTCTAAAAAGTCTCAAAGTCCCATGTAGACTAGCACTTCATTCATGTAAGAAACAATAAACCTTTAACCAACAAAAACATACCCCAGAATTTGACACTAAAGCACCAACACTCAGACTGTCAGAAAGTCACCTTCTCATTCCCCCTTCCGCTGACCGAGGCACAGTCAGTGCCCCTCTGTGGCTGATGTCCCAGCCCAAACTGCCATTAAATACAGAACCATAGTTAGGAATAACTAATGAACTGCTGAACAACACAGGAAAATCAATAGGCAGAAGAAGCAAGTGACCTTCTTCTGTCCATCCAACTCCTGCTCTTTCTTTCTGAAGAAAGAAAAAGGAAGGAACATCAATTTACAGACACTGAAATGAACAAAAAGACTCATCACCACAAAGATCTATAAACCTTTCCATCATGTCCCTGAAAAAGAAACTGCCCAATGGCATGAAGTTGAATTTGCCCAAGGCTAAAAACACAGTCACATAAAAGAAGAGAGAAATGCATACTAACTAGCTGTGTGGGCGGCCCCTGTGCAGCTGATAAAAGGCTTAGAAAGCAAATGAAGTATAGTCTAAGGTGAGCTTTGACTCTGGCAATAAAAGGACCCGATAGAACAAATTTCACATGATGCCCTTAAAACTGATGTGTTTACTGAGGAAGGGGGAAAAAAACTAATCCAAAGGAGGAAAATGCTCTTGACAAATTCCTTGTTCATTCACCTGTATCTTTTCAGAGGCTCTAAGAGCTGGCATCAACATGGGGTCAAAAACAAATAGATGATCTCAATTCTTCCAGCGTTGAAGTGAGCACTAAACATCCTCATTCTGAAGTGTGGCCATTTTTTCCAGGGCCTTGGCTTTTTCCTTGTGCTTTACCTGTCGCTTCTTTGATTAATCCAAAGCTAGACCTCGTATATTCCAAGGTGGTTGTACACTATCTCCCCTTCTTTCAATAATAGGTCATACATTAGAAAAAATTACCATAAAATTTAGTCCTGTGCATTCAGTAGTTTCTAAATGCTCATTGTATGCAACCCCTGATTAGGTTCTACAACAAATATAGGTAAGAGTAACAAACTCAACTCTGCTTTTGAGGTTCTAAACTTGTTTAGAAAACCCTTATGACTTCTGGGGCAAAATG